CCCCCCCCTCCCTTGCCAGCATTCCCAAGGCGCTGGGTCTTTGTCTTAGAAGGAATGGAGTGTCTGAATGGTGTGAAAGGGACAGAGAGGGTTGCTTCAAATCGATTTTACTTGTCCTCTCTGTCTTTTCGGATCAACGCCCTTCAATGGACACATAGGTGCTCTTTCAACCAAAAACTTGTGCAACATTTTCTGCCTGTATTGGTGCTAAATACAATAAATGCTGGGCAGATTTTTTTTTTCTTTCTTTCCAAAGCAGAAAGCACCCTAATTAAATTGTTTTATATGGACAGTCAAGACAGACCAATTAAGTATGCATTAGTATAAAGATATATTCGAGAGATAAGCGCTCTATAGGAGCCCTGTCTAGGCAAGGTGTGGAAAGTGTCCTCTCGAAGAGAGGCTGTGAGCAGGGTTTCATATGGATTTTTCCCCTCCATTGCCTCCTATACTCCAGTAACGGGCTGAATAAGTTAGCGAAAAGCCATTAGTGAAAGTGGTTTCTAAACAAAGTTAACAGGTGGATGTAGCTGGTTTTACATTTGAATAACAGTCGCACATCTGTAATACACAGCCCTGGATTTATGAAGCGCCTGTGCAGGCAATGTCCATTTGCAGAGATAAACGCCTTCGACCTAGAGCTGAGGTGCAAACGCACACGCACGGGAATAAAATAAATATCTGGGCACCTCTGTGGGCTGCAGGACATGGTGTGAGTGAGTGAGCACACACAGACGATGCAGATATCACCGTGTAGCCATTGTGTGGAGGCACCCACACAGCAGCACTGCTGTCTCGGACCTCTCGCCGGGCACAGCACACTCCTGGGCTAATTGCAAGGGGAGGCATTGGCTTTCCCAGGGGTGAAATAGCACATCAGGATAAAACATACACACACGCCAACTTCTCTTGCTGCCCATTTTATCACTCTGGGAAAGCTCTCTTTATGGTTAACCACAGGAAACGGGCTTTAAGCTCTTCTCCATTTCCATTATTATTATTATTATTATTATTTCCTTCACTGCAGATTTGCCATGTCGTTCAAAAAAAAGCACCCCAAACATAAAAAAAACCAGACAAACAAACAAAAAAGCCCTGAGCCCCCAGCCCTGCCTGAGCCTGCTGCTGGGACAGGGACGGGCAGGATGCGATGGGGAGGAGGAGGGAGGAGGGCTGGAAGTTGCTGGGGCACCCTCCATCCCTGGCCACGCCGTTCCCAGCGGCGGAGGCTGAGCCGGGGGAGCGAGCCCTGCGGCCGGAGGTGCTGCAGGGTGCGAGAGGGGAATCGCCCTTTAGCAGCGCAGAGAGAGGACAGGCTTTGCCTGGAGGGCTCGGGGCTTTCGGGGGTGCTGCCCGCCTTGAGCCCCATTTTCCAGCAGCGCTCTGCGTGTGCCAGCCCATCCCAGGGATGTGCGAGACGGGGATGAATAAGCCATTCCTTGCTTAGGTGCTTTAATGGCACGGTAAACAGGTTAGAAACAGACGTTTTTAAAGACTCAGTTTTTCTTTATTGGTCACCTTCGAGGATAAATCATAACAGACAGTATGGGGGGCAAAGAATTCATCTAAAGGAGATCTCAGCAAGTCACTACCCGGACAATAGTCCACCTCCTGTTGGGTTGCGTATTGATCAGGAGAGGAGCTGAGGATGTCGCCACACTAAATATTTACTGATCACACACAAATAGCCGCGACTTGAACGATTTTCTCCTGTGAGGAGAGCAGAGAGAGAAGGGTAAATCATTTTATTAGTGTGTATAAAGCAAAGAGCACACTCTGGCTTGGAGTGTTTTAAAATGTGTCTTCAGCTGGATGAAAAGAGTTAGGGAAATCGATATGGAGTGATTAGACGAACCAGTCGTGTCAAAGAGAGAGGCTGTGAATTTCATGGATTTGGTTATACCGGGAGGGGGAAAATATACCGAGAGATTAAAGGGAGGAACCCATTGTAGCAGAGCCAATGAAAAAATAATATCTAATCAGAGCCGGCAAAGGTAGGGACGGGATAAGACCCACATTTCTAAAGAATCACATCAGCTGGAGAGGGATCAGGGACACAGATGAAAGAGGCAAACGGGGGGAGAGCTGGAGAGTAGGAGCCTAGAAATGCTACAGAGCAAATCCAGGAGAGGCAGAGAAAAGTCGCCTCTGTGGAGCAAAGCTGAGATACCACGAAAATGGGGACAAAAGGCTCAGAAGCGAGGGAGAGGGCTGGAGTAAGCGGGCGCCTGCCTTGGAGGTGAAGTTGAGGGGTGCCCAGCCCGTGTAGCCACCAGGCAGAGAGGGCTCTGACAGCACATCCAGCTCCCATCCGAGGGGTTTAAATCCTTCTCCTACTACAAGTTTGTTCTCCCCTCTCCTTCCCGCCCCCCTCCCTCCCCACAAGCAAATGTGGTGAGTAAAATGGATTTTAGCGTTTAACCACCTCGTTTTATCCACGTAATGACAAGGCTCGTAATATGTAATCTACAGATTACTGCCATTCGAGGGTGACCACAAGTGGCATAAAAAAAAAATTAAAAAAATAAAAAATAAAAAAAATAATGCAGCATTTCTGCAAATGACAAAATGACTAAAATCAGCCCTTGCTTTAAGTATTGAAGTTGGGGAGTTGCTGCTGCAGGATTTTATCGGTCGAAGAGAGCAATTTAGCCGTGGCTCAGGTACAGCCCTGGGGTGTCTCGGCGGATTAAAGAAAACTTTGCTGGAGACAAGCAAATATCTGAGTGCCAAAGGGCAGAAAGCTGGGAGTAGGACAGGGCTTTGCCATGCCACGTTAAAATACGTTCTGTGGGGATGCTAGGGATTATTATTATTATTATTTTGCCTCGAATCCGTGATGGTTGGCCCGTGTTCACATGCTCTCTTCTCTCCGCGTATTTGTCTTTAGCAGAAAATAGGATGCGACTGCAGAGAGCTAAGTCAGAGCAGCGAGAGAAAGTTTGAACCGCACTTTAAATGATGCTGATTGCTGGGAGGGAGGAAAGACATCCCAAGCTAGGAACCGAGGAGTAAAACTGATGTGAAAACAGCTTTTCACTTCTCCTCCAAGTGCTAATTTTGCTACTGTAAACAAACACTGAAGTTAGAAACAGCTGCAAATAGCCTGCCGGGCACCCAGGGCTCAGGGACCGGAGGGGGTTGACTTTTGTTCATCTCTCGGGCTGAATTTTCCCCCAGCTTTATTTTTTGTTGTTGTTTTTTGTTGTTTTTTTGGTTTTTTTTTACCCCGAAATGAGAGGGCTGATGCTGATTTCATTTGTGGAGAAGGGACAAAGTACAGGCGCACTGAGAGCGTTCCATGAGAGCCCATGGAGCGCAGGCAGCCCGGCTGGATCACAAATGCAACAGGAAACCTCGGGACAGACCCAGCCTAATTAACAGTTTTCCATAGCTGAAGCGATTTTTAAGAATCCCAGTGGATTAGCCCAATATGTTCAGGTGTGAGGCTACGAGGGCCTATAACTCCTTTCACTATAATCTTATAACCTCCTTACCTAATTCCTTAGATTGCAGATAGGAAGAGTCTGACCCTGGAGGTCGTAAAGAGCTGGGTTTCATTAACCCTTCCCTCCCCGGCGCCGCTCCAAGGTTAACTGCGCCGGGCTGTGTGCTCGGGGGAGCGAGGGAGGGCGGCCAGGAGAAAGGGATTTGCAAGAGGGGTCGATCCGACGGGAGGGCAAGGCTTAAAATGATTTCTGCTCCCTTCATTCCCTCCCTTCAGCCAAAGGAAATATGGAAATAGGGGAATTTTTCTCCTTCCCATGCATCCGGAGGTGCGTGAATGTACGGATGTTTGGGGAGGCAATTCATCCCCTTTACACCATTTCATTATTGTTTATTATTTTTTAAATTATTTTTTTTTTTTCCTTCAAACGTGGAGGAAATGAAACATTCTAGAACCATCAGCAAAAAGCAAAGCAATCTCCATCTTTAGGACCAGCACCAATCTCTTGAGCTTCTTGTCCACAGTAGAGCTGTAATCTTTAAAGAAAAAAAAAAATATCTAGAAAAGCTTCTCAGACTGTATTTGCCTGGGAACACACCTGGTTTATATTTTAATAGGTAGTTACATTGTATTGATTCAGGGTACATCATTGATGTTGAAAGTTAATAACTCAAATTATATCTATCTGCCTACATACATAATTGCATACACACTATAACACTGGAGGAATTTGCATTTTGCAGCACATTCTTTGTTCTTAAATCTTTTAACACACTGAGTTGCTCCTTTGAAGAAAATGTTATTGAACCACATGTTTAAGGAAAAGAGGCTTCTAAACTATATGTTTAAGCAATGAAATTGTTGAGTGAAATACAGATTTCTTTGTATCTCACACAAACCTTGCCACACGCCAATCTTAACCTACACATCGAACTGCCTTTTTTTTTTTCTTTCTTTTTTTTTTCTTTTTTTTTTTTCCTCCCAGTTAGAAGGCAGAAATATGTGAACTGCTGAGAGAGGTGGGTACTTTTTGGTAAGTATGTTTAGATATGATCTTCAGATACATTTATTGTACTTTCAAATTCTTGGGATACTAATTGAGCTAGCAAACAATATCCCAGCTGAATGTCTCAGCTTCTTCCCTATTTAACAGGCTTTAGTGTAGAAGTATATTGTAGCCATCCTTCTACTAAACAATGTAGCTGAGGAGTCAGCAAAAAATGAAAAAAACATGTTAAAACCAAATTATAATTGCTGCCTTATATCTGACTCTTCTTGCTTTCTGCAGTCCTAATGAACTCTTTAAAGTTTTATTTATTTATTTTTTTATTTCTGACTGACAGATCAAAAATAATTAGCAGAATCAGAAACAGCCGGGAAGCTTGCAATAATGTGTCTAAATATTTCATATTGCTACTTATAATACCAGCCCTTCAGTTGTAAAAAGGAACCATTCCCTATTTATTCTGTGGTGGTTTATAAATACAGAAGGATAGATTCTTTTTTTTTTTTTTTATTTTCCCAGGGCCTGCCTCAGCGATGCCATAAATAGAGATTGAGCTATCAGGAGGAAAAAAAAAAAAAAGGAGAAAGAATAAAATAAAAGCAAAAACCCTGGACAGGAATAGAGACAGACAGATAAATGTATAACTGCATCTGAACAATGTTACGTGGCACATTAGGAGTTGGTAAAAAAATTTAAATTTATCGCATATTTATAACCTCATAATTAAAATACGTTCTTATCTCTCTCCTCTGAAAGGTTGCAGCTTTCTTGGAAGTATTTTGAGTGCATATTTTAAACTCCATGTCTTGAATTGAATTAAGATGAGCTGTTTTGCCCAAGAGTAAAGCCCTTGTTTACAATTTAATATTTAACTTTCAGCTGCCTACCCATCGCCATATCATTTTCTTTAGATTTCACCTCCTTACATTTGCAGGCTTTATTTAAAATGATGTTAGATTATATCAAATCCTAATTTCTTATCATAAGAAATGAATCAGTATGATCCAAAACAGTCCCCCTGGTCTGATCGAGGTAAATTGGATGAGGATCTTTCACATTCAAAGGGTTAAAGCTAAACCGAAAACTTTAAAGCAAGGAGATACCAGCAAACAGTGAAAAATGGTACATCTGCTCCTTCTTGACAAGCTTGCATTATATCACATGTAAGGAAGCCCAAATTTTAGAATCTAAGACCAGTTTTAGTTTTTAATAGGAAATAATTACATGGAACTTTATTTCCAGAGAGAACGTCCCTTCCAGCTACAGTGTTTTGCTTTGATCTAAGTATTAACTGGTAATAAAATAACCATATTTTGGATCCTAAGCATATTGATGCTTAGAGGAATGTTATGCTTTCAATCAAATTTTAACTTTAGATTATCCAAAGGTATTCATCCTTCTTTTGTCAGAAACCAATTTGCTCTCTTGCTCCTACAGCTACTCACATGTGGTTTGGTATACTTTGTTATTTTATAGTGGAATTTGCACTATCGAGGTGGAAAACTTTTAGATGGAATGAGATCATGTTCCAGCCTGGAAATTTGGGCTGTTTCTCACACAGGTCCCCAGTCCAGCCCTTCTTTACACTTGTTGTGCACCACAACCATCGCTCACCTCCGAGGGCGACCACCGAGACAGGATTTTGTTTTTAATATTCAGATTTTTCATTTAATTTTTTTTTTTTTTTTAACATGGAGAATCAATCATTTGGACCCATCCTGAACAATTAACCTCCCCTTTATATTACAGCCCCAAGTGCAGTACTTTATAAAGACATGAAAAGGACATCCCAGTCAGCAGGACCTGAGCCCAGGCTTGTCACAGAGTATAAAAGGAGAGAGAAGGGGAGTTTTTATCTCTTTGCCCCACCAATTCTTAATAGTTCTAAGTTTCAGTGTGACAATAAAACAGTTTTGATAACATAGCTCATGGGTTTCTCTGCCACATAAAGTTTTCTTAATAATAAAAAAGAAGAAACTTTATCCCTGCTAAATTAAAATAGGGCAGATGTTGGATATGGTTCATATTAGCCAGCCTTTCACCCCTTTGCCCCTGGCACTAAAGTTCTGACTTTTTCTTTCTACTATGTCTGTTTCTAACTGAAAGGTATTATTCCTGCCCTGGCTCTCTTCTTCTATTTATTTTTTCAGTGTCTAAAATTAAACCTATTCATTTAGTAATATACATTCTATTTCACATTGCTAAACCTGGCCAGAGAGGCGAAACATTTTCCAAAAAAGTGATGCACCACTGACCTTAAAAGAAAACACGAAGCAGGGAAAGCTGTTCTTAAAAGGTTTATTTCTAGAGAATTTTGTGGCTCTGTTGACATTATAGGGATAATGGCTGTATTGCAATGGGCTTTCAAGGCCCAAGAGGTTTATGTTTTCTTCTGACCATAAGTCTAATAAAATTTTAAAGGTGCACAAAGTCTCATCACTTTAGATATTTAAAACTAGCTTGAAAAAAATCTCTTGGGAAACATATATTGTGGTAGATAGCCCCACTGAGAAAGCAGGGGATAGACAAAAAAAAATACCCGGAGCGCAAACCCAAATAAACCCCCCCAGTATTTTTCATGCTAGCTCTATGAAAATCCTGGCTGTTAAACTCCCAAGGATAGTACAGCTCTTTTCTCCAGGACTGTGCAGATAGAATTTATTGTCCATTTGGAATGATCAAGTTTAGGCTAATAAAAGGCCCTCTGTAAGCAGAAATGCCCAAGTTGATGTTAGGCAGAGTTTTCAATGGTGGAGTTTATACAGGACGGGGGCTCTGCACTATTTGAAATAACTCCCATCCCAGCAGCTGAAGATGATCTGACACACAAGTAAACGTTAGCAGGCAGTGACTGAAGGTTAATCAGAGCTGCTTTCTGAGCTGGGTGCTTGGAAGCAGAAAAAAGTGAAAGCTGCTTTCTCTAGCCCTTCCCTATGCTAAGGTGCTGCTAACTTTTATGATTTTTTTCCCCCCTTTCCTCTTTTACTATCTGTCTTTGTGCCTGAGGGCCAGTGAAAGAACACTGCAGATTCTAGATTGCTTTCAGAGTTTCCCTTTGCTGATGATGGATTACCATGTCAATTTAAACGGCATAGGATTAATTTGTTTCAATGATTTCTCTTTAGGCTGAATGCCAGTCTTTTTTTTCTATCTCTCTCCTTGCTCTGCAGAAAAAATAATAACAACAATAATAATAATAAATCCTTAAACCCCCCAAACACTTTTGAGATCCCATGTTAAAAAGACAATAATAGAAATAGACAAGTTAGGTGTAATGTTGCAACGCAGTTGTAGGTTTGAGTGTTTTTATCTCGTTCTAAGGGGCTGCAGCATACAGTCAGTCACATTAAAATGAAATTGGATCCAACGTTTATTCAATAAATACTTGTCTTGTAGGTAATCCAGAACAGAGTGCTTTTGACACATAAGGACTTAATTTGTCTTGGATAACAAGTTATTAATATGGCACATTTAAACTTGCCACCTACAATAAGGTCATTTAGATCTATAATACGACTCACGAGAGAACTTCATAAAGCCAGAAACAAAGTTTGAAACTGCCTCTGAGGCGCGGAGCAGACGCACGGCTCACGGTTTGCTCTTTTCAGAAGAAAGTTCAGAGCAAGTAGGAGCCACCCAAACCCAAATGGTGTGCATCTGCTCCTCTTTGAAAGGCAAACGTAAATGGAGCAAGGAGGGGAGAAAAAAAAAAAAAAAAAAAAAAAAAGGAACCCAAACACACATTTTTGAATGAGTAAGCTTTAAAGCTGTGCTGCGTCTGCTCGCAAACTCATCGCAGCTTTGAAAGTGAAAAAACAACATTTGGTTCAGAGTGGAAATTCGCCTGCATTTGCACCCTACCTCTTCCATGTGCTTCACAATTTACTCGCTTTTAATAATAAGTGAGGAAGTTGGAACATAATCCAGCCATAAATGTTATTGCTGTAATTTGACTGCTCTGTGTTTGTTCCTGCATTAGTTGTATATGTAAAGCCAAGTGTGGATGGATGGTGGGGATCCCCGTGCAGCACGAGCAGACAGAGGTGTTGGGGATTTCAACACCCAAACATCCTGCAGTTGTTTTCAGTTTTGGGGTGTTTAGTTTCAGAGCTGTCCTAACTCAGTGGTGCCTGCAAGAGGTGCATCAGGAGGGGAATGTTGTGGGCATGCTGCTCAGGATGCGTTTGGTGACTGGCAATTCGGTCTCCACACTGTGTCCCTGAGCTTTGTTATTCTGCTTTTCTGTACTAAGCTCTTGGTTGCTCTTGCCATGGCAGATTCTGTCTCTTTAAGTAACTAAATCTCATTTTTAAGCTATTCCTGGGAAAAGGATGTTACACATGAGTAGAAAAATGCAGGCAAGAAAGGCTAATTGAATGAAAAGAGAGAATTAGGTTAAAAATAGAGTACAATCTAGTATCACATTTTCACTAGTGTAACCTGAAATGAAGGTGTCTCCAAGTCCCCAGTGATGCCAGAGTGTTTAGATGTTGGGCACAGATGGAGACACCTATTGAAATGTGTCTGAAGAAGATTAATAGGACTTGTCAGTGTTGGGAAAGCACTGCTTTGCTGTAAATTTCTACTAGCACAAGATGAATTACCGATGAATGCTCAGTTATCAACCCCATCACTATCATTGGACACTAAATCAAATTGAGCAGTTATCTACAATCAGAAAATTTCTTTTAAAAGTAGGCATACACCTTTAGGCTTAAACTCTTTAATAAGACAATATCCTCGATGGTGTGTGTGTGTTCACGAAGGGATATGATTTAAAGTTTCTATACAAAAACCTTCTGTTCAGAATTTAACTCCAAGTTCAGTGTGAAACCTGGGTTGTCAAACAATAGAAGATAGTCAGAAAATGCTGGTTATATAATACAGAGTTCTGCTGGGGGCCTGATCCAAAATGCCATAGATTTTTGTTCCATCCCTATTTACGAGGGTTTTTTTCAATCTCTGCTCTCTCCTTATTTATGGTGCTGATCAACACCCCCCACCCCCTTCTCTCTACCTTAAGGACTGAGCATCCAAATACATTGATGCAAAACATCCATCATGACTCAGGATATATGTATAATAATAATACCACCCCCCAACATATTTAGGAAATTACAGCTTAATGTAATTAACTATGTGATGAAAGAGTCAATGAATAATATTTTAACTGAGAATTATTTCTTTCTCTCCTTTATGAAAAAGGAAACTGTCACAAACAAAACTACCACAAGCATTTACCAGCCCACTCCTGAAGAATATTACCTGCATTTACCATCCGATGCTGCTGAAGACAATGATATTAAATAAGCATTACATACTTTTACTTTCTAGGATTTCTTTCCCTCCCACCCAGGCACTGCATACTTTATCCAAGGAGATTTATCATGGCGTGTTTTCCAACGTCAGTTTTTCCCTTTTATTAGAGACAAGGGCAGTCATTTGTGTTTAGGGAGGGAGACAGGTACAGAGCCTTTATCTGATCTGCGTCCCCAGCCACCACCACCACCTTTTTAATCGATGGCAGGTCCCCACTCTGGAAGATCTGGCCCTATCTGGGTTACTTCTTAGCCAAGGAATGCATCCTTCCCTTCATCTCCACATATCTCACCTGTGCTGCATGCTGCTTTTTGAGAAGGGAATAATACACTGCTTACCACACAGCACAGTTTCAAAGCCTTTGTGCGTTTCTCATCTCCAGCCAAAGCTTATTATTTACCACCCAAAAAATTTACCAGGATAAGGGGTAGCAGAAGTTATTTTCTTCATCTTTACACCCCAATTTTTATGCAGTGAATGCCCTGCACTAGGACCAGATTCCACTCAGATGGAAGTTATTAACTTTCAGCAGAATGGGGCCGATTTCAGCCAGCCACAGCCTGTGCCCTTCGAACGCAGTCGCTTTGCCGCATCCCCATGTTTATTTTTTTTCTTTGGAGGGCATGATTCTTTAAACATATTTGTTTTACACAGAGCAGCATTTGAATCCTAACTTTTTTTCCCCCCCTCAAACATGTAAAGAGAATATTAATAGGGAATATTAACAGAGGTGAGTGCAGCATGAAGCTAGTTAGGTTGTAGTAGCTGAGAAATATGAACTAGTGAACATAATCCATAAACTCCATTTGGTTACTATAATACTCCAATCTGTATTTATTACAACCCCACTCTGATGCTTATACAACTGCAATTGCTAGATTTATACACTCTAATGGTTTCACAATAGGAAAAACCTGTGTCTTTATCTTTCTTTTCCTGTCCAAAATAACCCCTTCCACATATACTTCAGGCTTCTCCGGACCTTGTCTGGGTTTAATCACAGGCTTTGGGACAAAATGTGCATTATTAAGAAGTATAAATATTTTCAGAAGCAATCAAAGGGTTGAAAGATTGATTCGGCATGTAGATTGGATTTAATTCGAAGCAGCTTTGTTCTAATGAGGACTACTGGGATACAAAGACGGCAGCCGCTTATGGCCACCAGTTGGGAACTTCGACTCGCTGCAGCAACCTGTCAAGAATTCCAAGAAACTGCCAGGTATTGAGCAGAGAAGTGGTGGGGAAGACGGTGGTCTATTGTTTGCAGTCTCCTTCCGAGGCTGTGTTAAGATTTCCTAAATCCCTGTTTTACCATAATGACAATTCAGCTTCTTGCTGCCCACAGGGCCAAATCCTGCAGTCCCTCACTGTGGGGAAAACCCCTATGGACTTTGTGGGTGGCTTTGCCTTGAGGAAAAGGTGGCAAAGCTTGGCTGAGCCTCAACTCCAGCCAATTTGGGAGCTGTGTAGCAATTTGTCCTGCTCCCAGACCTGGTTGCTTTCGCAGTGATTTGTTCCATTCAGTTCTGCTGTCTGCACTTCTAGATGTGATGGGACCTTTCTGCATAGGGAGGTGTTTATCCCTAGGGAGAATTACAGCTCTGTGAGAGCTTGGAAGCTCCTGTCCTGGCTGGGTGACCCAGCAGAACTGCTGGACCCGTCCTGCTTCCAGCCTGCAACGTCCAACAAAACATTCTTGGGATGATGCTGAACCAAAAGGGACTCTGGACTGCTTTCCCCTCAGACTTAAAACAGCCCAGCAGGAAAATGTGAGTGTGGGCTGCGGGGGGTGTCACGTCACAGGTACCTGGTTTCCTAAATGCCGAGCGTACAGTCAGAATCACAGGATATACAGGATCAAACACGGACCAGTTTCTCTCTCCCCTTAGCCCCCCTGCCTACTTTTGTCCATAAAAGCAATAGAAAGAGAGAAAGCTTGAATTTTCTGAACTGTTTCACCCATCCACAGCTGGAATTCCAAAGCGAAATGAAAATGCCTTTAAAATCAACCCTACATGGGAGCCTGAGAGAACAAGTTTTCCTTTGTTGTAGGGTATAGTATTATTTGCTGTAGGTTTTTGATATACATTCTAAATTAGGCCTGCAAAGGAATGCTTCATCTTTAATTCATCACTCTCAGCTGAAAGAGATTAGCAATGTCTAGCACGCACCCTTCGTATGGTGCTGACCTCATCAAGTATGGCCTGAAATTAATTAGCCTCATTCATTCCAAATGGAAAAGGATAATGGAGCTGCATTTTAGAGATGACCATCACAAATTGTATGCAGCATATTTAAAATCTTTCCCCCCTCGCTCCCCTCCCCATTTAAAAAAAAAAACTGTGTAGATTAAAATTCTTTCCAGAACTTGCAATATGTCGGAGTTATCGAGGCATTAGGAGCAGAAACCATTCCGTTTTTATTTGTGGAACTGGGAGCCACATTTTGTATGTGTGGCCGTAAAAGCAGCAAGCCTGTCTTAATGGCAGAACACCTGGAATTAATTTGATATTTCCAGGTGCTCTGGCAAACTGGGACATCAAGCACTTGATGTTTAAACATTCTTCCACTGGCTTGCTTAAATCAATATGAAAGTGGTGTCCCTTTGTCATTCATACATGCAAAGTGCTAGCACAAACTCCAGCTTGGCTTCAGAGTCCTACATCACTCATAATCTAATTAGAAATCAGAGCAGAGCTGAAGCAGCATTCTTTGTGGATTCTTGGGCAGCAAATAGGGATACTTGTCTTTTGTTTCCCTCCTCGATTGCATCGTTCACAAGCTTTCACACCACATCTCTAAAGGTGGTTAGGTGCCTCAAGATGTTGACAGGCATGAAGGACAAGATTATTTAGGTGCCTAACCCGGGTGATTTCAAATGGAATTAAGCAACTGGATGTTACTGGGCTGGGAGGGGGGGATGGTGATGGTGTGGGGATGGGGGGAAAAAAAAAAAAAGCGGCCAGTGCATATTAAAAGCTCTAATTTGTTGTCCTAAACTCTAGCAATGTGGGCGATGTTTTTCCAGGGTAAAATTGCCTGCAGGGTACATTTGCTGAAGCCTGTTAATTTCTCCTGAGGTCAGCGGGTACCGGGTGTTGGGCAGCACAGCCTCTCCGAGCCGGGCACGCTGGTCGCGTGCGCTCCGGCTGCTTCCCAAGAGATAGGGTCAGTGGTGAAGAACGTGGGATTTCCCACAGGAATTTGGAAGATGTCCATGTCTAAGACAATGGTGAGGATGGGGCCAAAATCCAGATCCAGCCTTGGATCAAGGAAGCCTTGATTCCTTCATCTGAGTGACCCTGTGTTGACCCACGGCTGCTGATGGATCGCGGACCTTCCTCTCTCCTCACTGCCCTGCATCAGATCACCAGGAGGACCTGAGAGTTCTGTGAGTAAGAGATACATTTTTTTTTTCCTCACACCAAACAATTCATTGCAAAACTTCAGATTTTGAAATGACAAGGTCAAAATGGCTCATATCTGCAATGCTGGGGCCTGGGGAACATTCCTGCAGTTCTTATACCCAGGGCTGGAAACACAGGGAAAACATTTTGTGATATGTACTATAATCACCTCATACCCAGAAAAATGGAGAATTAATTATTCCTCTTTTAACACAAACAAACATTTGTCTTCCAAAGACTCCATTCATTAAGAACTGCCATTGAATCCAAGATTGAACCTATTGTTATTAATCCTAAATGAATTCAAGTTTGTCTACCATGAACAAAGCTGCTCACCATCTGATAATCCAAATTTGCTCAGGAAAAAGAATGAGCAAATGTTAGAAGCAGCAGGTGAAATCATACCACAGTTATTAAGCCTTCTTTCAGGGGAAGCAGAGGATAGATTAAATTGTTATGTTAGGCCATGTTGTGAGTCCACGTCAATTTTGTCTCAGATCTTATCTTAGCTTAGAACTGTTTCCTCCTAAATTAAACTAAACGTTGAAGACATGAGAAGCATATTGACCCAAAGATTCAGAACTTTGGGTTCAGCAGACTTCTGATCTTTTGTCCACAGAGTATCAAGTTGTAAAGCTGTGGAATATTAAATGATCATGATTATCTTCAATTTGCCCAATTCATTTGTCATGCTGGGACACTGGCACAGATTTTCCTTGCTGGTGTTTTTTTTCAGAACCAGGCATTGATCTTTCCTGCTAGCTGGTAGCATTTGCCACTGACCTTATAGACCGTGGTCCTGTCCTAACAGTAAGTCTCATGCACCAGCTGTGAGCTGTAATTCTGGCTCTGGTCCTCTTAACCTTCCTTTTGCAAACACCATTGTCCAATAAAGCAGCAAACAAAAATCTTACAATCAAAACAACTGAATTATGCTGGTACTTCGATCAGCTGTTATCAGGCACAGGCAGTTCTTGAGATTCAGAAATGCAGTGTAATTCACCCGGGATAAGAAATCAAATTTAAAAATGAGCTGAACAGACATTTTTAGGAATAAGTATATTTCTAAATAAACTAGCTTTTTAATTCCACCTTTTCTATATTAGAACAAATCAATATTGTCTGCACTTGGAGATGAGTTTCAACTGTCATAATTAAATATTATCCTGCTTTTTGCAGCACAGCCAAACAAGGACTTTTACTCCTGACACAACAGTTTCCTCAAGTAGGAACAACTTACTAACTTATTACAGCAATGATTTAAGATCCACATGGTTTCATCATATTTTAGAAAACAAATCCCTACCAAAACACACAGCATGATTCATCCCTGGAGTCAGAGCACTGAAGAGATGGAGTAATAGAAGAAACAATATATTTTAAATGCTTTTAAAATACAAACATAATGATGATACATTAAATAATGTGATCTACCCAGCCGGACTTCTAATTACCTACATGCAAACCTCATATTCATTCATCACTTCATTCTCTTCAGCTGCAATGTTGGTTTTTGGTAGACACTAACACTGAGCCATAAGTTTGGATGGGAAGGGAAACAAGGACAGTGCAAGGCTGTATATTAGCTTAGACAAGTAGGATGTCATTGCCAGCCTGAATTTGTTGATGACACCAGGCATTAAGCAAGTAAATCTTCAGCCACTGAAGCATGAGTTTGCTGACTTTAAGTAATGACATCCAGGAGGTGATCCAGGAGTGGATTTACACCAGCAAGTACCTATGGACTCATAATGGCCACTTAGCCCTGACCACAAAACAACAAGTCAAAATGGAGATTCACCTGTCCCCTGAAAAGAAAAATTTTGTTTTTCCTTATTCTAGTCTCATTTCAAATGTTCAGGAAGCTGGGTATGACCATCTTTGAGGATGGGGAAGGACTTTTGTCTCTGAAGAATCCAGCTCATGGAGTCACTTGGTCAATTCCCATTTGCACCCAGCAAAGACCATGGAGATGTCAAATGGTGTAAAAAGGTATCAGCTCCAATCTGGGGGCTGAGTATGAGGCTAGGCCTTTCTGTGGGCTGAGATTTGTTTCCATTTGTACCAGATATTGGTGATTTATAGCGATTTCACCCCAATCCCTGGACACTGCAGGTCCACATGCACGTGGTGACTCCATGTGCTGAAAGCAGAAGTATGACCAGGAGCCATCACAGTTCTTTGTCCCACCTAAACAACTTAGCTCCCCTTCTGCAATGTTTTTCTTTCCATAAATCCTAATTCTACCATCCCTTTCCTCTAATAACAACATAAATGAGTACTCTGCAGGTGTAATTACGGTAATAGTTCTTTTACTGCAAATACTGGAAGCCTGTAACCTGTAATTCACTTTTTCTGATAGTCTCCTATTCTAACACTAGACATGTTATTTTAAAATGTCTAGGACCTGAAAGCTAAATTTATAGTGATAGATAATAGTAATGGAAACCAAGCATCCTCCTTAGCTCAGACTTTAGAGCTGTGCTGTATACCTTGGCCAATTGTTGCCAATATCATACCCACCACTCTCACAGTGATTCAAATATCAGAGTTAAACAGGAGGAAGTAAAATACAACTCAATTTGTTTATTTTAAGGTACGAATCTATGAAAACTCAAGACATACTAACATGCAGTGTCTTTTCTTGAATTTTTCCATGGCCAATTCTGGGGCAATTATTGCTTCTCCACAGTGAAAATATATATATATATAAAATATTTCTGATAACATGAGCTCCCCTTCTTTTCTAGGGATGAACCATCACAAGACTGGGATTGGAAAGTGTGGGGAGCAAGCACTCAGGGAGATGCAGCTGGTTCCCTGGCCCTGGGCTGTGGCTCAGCTCTTGGTCATGGCACAAGTGACCAGAGGCCAGAAAAACATGGTGGGGACTGATTCTGTCTTGGCTACTCCTCATCAGTGCCTTGAGCTGCATGAAGCCCTGAGAACCAAGGCAACACGAGGGCACAACCAGGGATTTGCTCTTCTCATGGTCCACACCTTAAGCACAGCACAAAGTTCCACCCTTTGCTTCTGCAGGTAGGAGCTCAATCTAATTTACAGATTTAGTTTTAGTTGGAAGCAAGGCAATAATCCTAAAATAACTCATGTAAATGGTCACCCTCTTCTAGAACAGACATTTTTTCATTATTTTCTCTCCATTTTCTGGATGAAGCAGCCGGTGTGAGGAGGGCATGCTGGCACATACCCCACTTGATAGCTGAGAAGAACAAACTGGCAAATATATTTAATATGCTGTAGCTTATCAACATCCCAGTGAATAAAAGACAAGTGAGATTTTCCACTGGTTATTCACAGATCTACATGGAGATGCTGGTAAACTGCCATTTAGTCCAGAGAATGGACAGAAATAAATCACCAGATAACATACAATATTCCTAGTGAAATCCTTTATGGAATGTATTCTAGCCCCAAACCCCTCCTGGAATAGGCACAGTAATGCTCCCAGAGACCTGGCAGCCCTTGTAGGTGAGCATATGGTCTGCTCAGCTCTCGCAGCACTGCTGCACGGTGGGTAAAGTGCTCTACTGTCAGAGCAAACAGGGGGCTCTTTAATAGCATGAAATTCTGTGCCTGCTTCAAACTCCATCACTACTCCAGAAATGGATTTCCCTTCTCTGCTGGAGCATGCACTGTTTGCAGGAAGTGCAGAAAAAAAAGTGAGAAAGTCTCCTTGGATGGTGTCTGTAATCATCTCCCATAAAGCTTGGTGGGAGGGTCTTGGTGTGTCAGAAGTTGCATTTTCTGGTGATGCTACATTGCCTTCTCCATTCTATTGAGATATCCCCTGGTGCATTGTGACTTGCTCAGTAATTGGAATAGAAAGAGGGACCTGAAGGTAAAAATCCCGATGTTAATCAAGGCTGGCAAAGGGCAGAACATTAACTGCAGTAATTGTTTTTCTGAGGGAGTCAACAAAGCCGGGCTCGTCTGTGCTAGCAAACAGATCCGGTCCTGCCTCTGTGCTCCTCACACTGGCAGAACATTGCCCTGAAATCACTGGAGCAGGGATCGGGCCAGGAATGAGCAGCTAAGTTGCAAAGCAAATTAATTCCTGCCAAAAAAGTTCAGCTATGCTCAGAAGTATGTAAAGTGTCTGATTTGAGAAGTGTCAAGTAGCATTTGTGACCAATTATCCAAGATGAAGGGGGCAGAGCTATGTTTACATGTACTAATCTTCAGCCAAAGTTTGAAAACTCTAATTCATGGACACGCATCAAATTTCCTTTCCAGGTTTGGCATTTGCCTGTACGCACGCATGCACATTGCTCGGGGATGACAGGAAAACATGATTATGACTTGCAAATAATACAAATAAAAAAAAAAGGAAAAGCGAGAAGAGCTGCCATGCAGCAGCAGTATGGTAATTAAACCTATACTGTGATATGCTAAAAGAATCATGGACCACTGTATGAGTAAAATAGCTTTATCAGCTGTGCTGAAATATGATGTGTGGTGTGTCAGTATTGTTATTTTTCCACAGCCTGTGAAGCCTTGGGAAATGATCTGCACAAAAGAACAAGAAGTAAAAGCTGCCTCTGCCATCTTCTGTTTAATTAACATAGGTATACCAATTTGATGCAATTAATCAAGATAGGAGGGATTAAACAGTAACTCTGCTGACAATGACAGCGTTAGCATGGCTGTGGCATAAGGAGGGCTGCAAAATGAGAGTGGTGACTGGGAACACTGTGAGGAAGTGTAAGCTGGCTGAAGTTTTGGGAGGTTTATGCAGATGTACTGAAATTTAGGGGCAGCTGATTCTTCATGTGGCCAAGTGTTTATCTGCCCCTGCCCTTTCCTTTACCCTCTCAGACCTTCCAGGGTAATCCCCAGAGTGGCAACAACTTTTAAAGCGATTCCTCTTTCTTTTAACAGATTCCTGATGCTAAAGGTCTGACCTTAGAATGAGCAGTGCATAGGGCAAGAGTGGGTACTGCAGTGAGCTTCTGGCCTTCAACCCTTCCAAATACAGCTATTTTGGTAACCAGAACACTATATTCATGATGGGTGAGGGAACAGAGCCTTCCAGTGCAGGGCTTCTCAGCACATTAACTCTATCAGTGCTGGATTCTTGGTCGCTATGCAAGTTTGCCTGTGCCTATTTAAGACCATAAATGCAGCTTTGCAGAGGTCTGCTGCATTCTGTAACTTCATGCTTGTGCTTTACTGCCCGATGCACCTGAAAAGTGGACTGAATCCTGTGGATTTCCATGTGGGTCTGGGAAGGACTGTAATCACGTGCAGCTGAGAGCAGCTCAGACTTGGATTTCTTCTTGGCAGGAGAGGCACAGCCTGGTTTGCTACAATGCAACTGTCCTCATTAATGTTCTTCAAGCCCTGATGTACTGGGACCGCCATCGTTGGGTCAGAAGATGGCTGAGTTTTCCAGGCTCATTCTCTTGTCTTCAGAATGTTAAATTGGGTGATAATGAGTAGTAACTGTGTCCTTTTTTATGGTGAAGTTGACACTTGCCTTCTAGTAAACAGACACAGAGATGACCCTCCTCATTTCGCACAGGTCACCAAACAGCCCCGGAGTGGTAGGGGTTATTGGCCATTTACCAAACTCTGTTTGACTTGGGTTCATGGGTGAGAGATGAAAGGCTCTATATTGCATTACCAATCCCTGGGGCCAGCCAGTCTCCCTAAAGAAGCGTTTCATTTAGCAAGGCAACTGCTGGGCATGGGAATCGGAGACTTGGGAAAAAGAGGACACAGTTTCAATTGCAAACGTTTCCTTAGGGCAGATGTCTTAAAGCCACACAGAAGCTCACTGCTTCAGTGTCACAATAGTTGCTCCAGGACACTTAATGACCAGCAGATTTTCCCCTTTAATTAATCTCCCCTTTTCCCAAGAAAACATCCCTTAGGTTCCTTGTGGTGTTTCTGCCTCTGCCCTGCTGTTTTGTCCATCTCCTTGGGGCAAGACCAGTGCAGCACTTGTGAACTGTTACCTTTCCCAAGAGCTTCAAAATTGAAACAGATGATCAAGTAGCCATGGTATCACACTTAGAGGTTTTGGGCTCTTGTGAGGAGAAATGAGTATTCCTGAAGTGTCCAAATACTTTCCTTACCCCAGAGCAAAGAAGCTGACTGATTTTCTTGGTTATAGTAGAGTGGTCATTGCTATTGGGATAGTCCAAGTGCTGCCTTTTTACAGATAATGGTTTCAATGATTGATGGATCCAGGAAGAAGAATATCTGGTTCAGAACAAGAATTCAACCCAGACTTTCCCTGAATTTCCTATATTAAAATCCAGTGTTGTTCCAAATTCTTAATCACTGATTAAAATCCTCTTTCACTTTCCTCCCTTATTGTCTGTGATGTGACTCATGAGACATTCAGAAGTTGCACTTGTTGTTTGATAGTTTTACATCATGGTTGTAATAGTGCATCTACCAAGTCAGCAGGGTTTTTTCTGCCTTTGTTTATTTATTTACCACTCCATTTCCAGCAAGTTCTTGTCACCCAGTTCCCACTGACAACAGGGGAAGAGGCACAGGTCAGCTCAGAAAATGAACGACTAGAAGGTAAGTGAAAAGAATAGTAAATGCAGGCCATTCATGTAACAGGATCCAATTCATTTTTATGCCAGGGAGATTTTTTTAAATGGGACTTCTCCCAGTGGAGAGCTCACAATGCTCAAGGCCTGTTTCACTATAAAGACAATACATAATTATTCTGGGCTTATTATTATTTTTTATCACTCCTTTTCCAGTTGCAGGGAGTGAGGGCAGAGATGAGATCAGGACCCAGTTTATTGCTGTGCTGGCTGTGCAGCACACAGGGCTGCAGGACCCTGTGGAGTAACAGGTAAATACACCCAGGCTGAAGGTTCAGGTGACAGGTCTGAGATGGGAGAATCCATCAACAGCAAAAATGGGAACTCAGCCTCCTGAGGCCTTCAGCCCTGGGCTCCTGCTGCTTGTTGCTTTCAGCATCTTTTCTTTTCACACTTATTTTGAATCGCCGAAATGATGAATTGAAAAAGTGCCATGTCATTTGAAGCACTCTTTATTGTGTTTATAGGAAACAGATTATCTGTTCTCTCTGGATAGTGGAAAGTGAGTATGATGAACTCATCTGGAGAAAATGTAGGTTGGGTGTGACAGAGAAACTTGTGTTTTATACCACAGTGACATCTCAATTTCTGGTTTTGGTATGACAGACTCAGTGATACTGAACCATCCTGGTTCCTGCTTTCAGGCTGGGGTCACAAGTTGGACTTGGAAGAAGAAACTTCCATGCAGAGATGCAGTGTGAATACTGTGCCAGGGTAAGAGAGATTTTGTTTAATTTGGGGTTTATACAATATGTAAAGTCCATACAAAGTCTGTTGCTCACCCCAGCCTAGTTAAACTGCGTTTGACCACTACTTGTTGAACCCAGTAAAGTGTGTACCACAACAACAGCTGCTCAAGTTATATGTTGTTTTGCCAGGTCAGCCCTTTAGGATTTAGCATTTAATTCATAAAGGATTCTATAACACATGCCCAGTCGTGCCCCATCTCTACTTCCTGATGATTTGGGTGATTTTCTCTCCCCAATTTATATTTTAATTAGTTGTAACACTTCTTTGCTTTCTAATTTGAACAACTGAGACTTAAAAAAAAAAAGCTAAAAAATAACTCTCAGAGTCTGAATGGATACTCCTCAGAATTTTCTCTTCAGTACTTGCAGGTCCTGGCTTAGGTGACATTTCATGTTGACTGCTCTGTGTTAGTTCTGCTCAGGCAGAAGGTAGTGACAGTGTTATAGGTTTCTTTAGGGATAAAACCTACAGAGTGTCCTAAAGTCCAGTAACAATTCAATACCAGCAACTTCCCCTCTGTGCTCCTACCATTGCTTTGAGCCAATTTATTTATTCATTTAGGCTTTAAGTACTCAGATGCATTCCTTCTTGCTGCAGCAGCAGGGGTACAGGAAGGGTGTTTGAAACCAAGCAGTCATTTCCACCCTGGATTTCATGAGGAGTTATTCTTGTCTCAGAGAATGACGCACTCAAATATCCCTCTATGGATTCCAGGTGAGTTAGTCACATTTAGATGCTTCCAAGTAATACACAGAAAGGTGCTGAGAAAATGATGAGTCTCTGCCTAGTCACAAAAAAAAAAAAAGCTCAGAAAAAGTAGATCTGAGCAAATTACGTGTACTAGTCTTCAAAATATTCTAAAAAGACCTGGGGTCAAAGAGGTTTTACCTTAAAAACAGTAGGGATGCACAGTATTTACTTTACTGTCTGACCCATCAGCTGCTCTCTGTCCCCAGAAACAGTTCAGGAAATAACTGGAAGCATCTGAAGACATAAAAAGGATAATTAAGTTTCATTGTGGAAATAAGAGGGTAATCTGTCCAGACAAATCTAGGACCTAGTACTGAGAGCCGTAGGATCTGAATATAAAAAAATGAGTAATTTTGAAAAAAGATGTCTATCAGGACTGTAAATTCAGAGAGTAAAAAAGTAGCTTTGCTTAATAGACCATCTCTCTCTCCATCTCCCTCTAACTCATTTTCTTATTCTCTTTCTTCCTTTTGTGCAACTGCAAAAAAAAAAAAATAGTGTGCAAAATCTGATATTGAGAATACTTTAGCTTCATTTCAATCTTCTATTCTCCAAATGTTTTGTTCCAACTGGGAAGATTCCCCCTGGGAGATAACCTCAGCCATGGCTGCACGAGGCTTGTGGGGTGGCTGATTTGCAAAGGAACAACTGTATTTTGAGGTGTCTCTGAGGCAGCCAGGTCCCCTCTCTTCTGAGGCTCTTAAAGATATTTGTGAGCTGGCACGAGAAATCACCTGGGACTCAGAGCAGACCACAAGTGCTTAGGACAGTGTTTTCTCTTCACCTTTTTTTGCTGAGCAGAATTGCAGTGCTATAAACAAATGTGAGTTTTGCCTCATTCTTAGGTCCTGTGAGTTATGAAAGCCCACTCCAGTTGTAATGAATGTATAGATCATTTTGACCAGATCATAATCTATTAGTAAATAATGCTCTCTGAAAATGTATAGGTGAAATAAAGAACTTCTTGCTACTATTGCTGTATTGGTATCAAGGATTACTGTGGAGGCCAACACAATCCTGAGGCTTTGTGCTGCTGACATTTAAATAGAATACAGAATTAACTACAGGGTTTGGTTAGCAAATTCCCTTTTGGATTAGAATATTCAGGATTTACACTGCTGGAAACAGAACCCAAAACTTTACAAGCCCTGTGCCTTGGCTTCAGCTCACTGACACCCTCACTCATATTTATAGAATTTTTCCATTAGATTCCTAATTTTGGTGGTGATATTAATTAGCAAATCACACAATACTTTTCAGAATGAGTAGAGGCTGATAGAGCAAACCCCCATAACACCTATGACTTTTCTTCACTATCCCTGGAGGAAGCCCAAGGGTAGCAGACTAAGACCTAAGGCAATTGTCAGCACAGTCTATAGGCCATGGGAAGGTTAGGTTTAAAGAAGATGTCACTTTTGGGACATCTGTGTGACACATGCTGCAGTGTCCAGACATTGGAGACTATGTTTTTACTCTAAATCTAGAGAGGAAGTCACTGGGAAAAAAAAGGGAAAGAAGCACGGGGGAATAAAAGTACTTTTGAAAGAGAAGAAATCTACATTTCAATGAAAATCCTTTCAAGGCATTTCAAATAAGAGTCTGAGAGAAATAATTACAAAGTTTGGAGAGAAAGAACGTTAGCTTTGATATCTTTTTCTTCTATGAAGCAATTAAAATAAGCAATTTTTCAAATACTAAGCAGAAAATTACTAATGGCTGAACCCAAAAGCTTTCATTTCCTTCTTGGGGCCTTTATTCTTCTAAAAAAAGACAAAAAAAATGTGAAGGTGGTTTTCCAGATAGATTAATGCATAAAACAGTCGCTAGTTGGATGTCATAAAAACTACAGCAGCATAGAATAGCTGAGATTAAGAGCTAGATTTAAATCATGCAACAGTCCAGTTAATATCAATGTCTAATTAAGAAATGCATAAGAAGTCTGTAATGTTGATTTGATGGAGAAAAACTCTAATAGGGTTTCTTTTGGAATTTTCCATTTCAATTGCTGTGTAGACTTTTAATGGATGTTCTATCCAGTCTTTGGTATTAGCAGGAATCATCCTCAAATTAAAACCAAGGCCTAAAATGGGACACAGGTAGACAAATTAGCTGGTCTGGGAAGCAGCCTGGGTAGAATGACAATGTGAGCTGAAGCCGAAATTTTAGTACAAATAAAAGAGAACAAACGTCTGAAATCTGGCGTGGAAACCCTCTCTGCCTCTCGTTTGAAACAATCTAAAACCCTGTAATTTGAAACAATGCGATGTTAACCCATTTCCCCACCTCCCTAAGCCTGCAGAAATCCCTGACAATTCATACTTACACACCTAGACCACTAAGCATTATTAATTAGTCTTTTTTATTTAAAAGACTTTCCATAGTTATGCATATTAGTAGTGTGTAGAGGTGGGTTCTCCTCTGCTTGTGATGGGGTTTGGAGCACACAGGTCCCTGTCACCATCAACCAACACCATTAACCTCCCACTCCTCTCTGGGTAACTCAATCTCTTAAACCCCTGAAGCAAAACTAAGCCTGTGGTGTCTTCTGTGTCCCATGGATCATCCAAGATGTTTGGTCTCTAGATATGAAAGGGGAACTGGTTTTGAGCACGTTGCTAATGCCCTGAAGTTGCTAAAAGAGGAGCAGGAGTGGGTATTCACAAACCCACTTAGCAAAGAGGGGAAAGCAGCAGTGTATTTGTTATCACCACTCTGCTGTTGATCCAGCAGATCCAGAGGGAATGATCTCAAGGATCCAGTGGCACACTCAGAATAACTCCTCTGACCAGTGCATGCTGGGGAGTGATTTTAAAGTTCATTAGAACACATTAAAATATAATACATTGGCTGTGGCAAAGCAAGGCATTTGATTCCATTGGTCCACATGTCTCTTTCCAGTGCTGAATCCATCCAGAGACCTTTCAGAATGAAATCATTAAGTCTTGTCACTTCCACAGAGAGTGGAAAAGACTGGAGGTGAAAATCAGAATAACAGTGAAATTTTAGCACTTTTATTTTTGGGTCATTGCCTGAAGTGTCATGGTCCAAATTCATGCCTGACATTGCTCCATTGATCCATGAGGCACAAATAGGTCATATTAAAGAGTGATATCATGGCCCTGGGGGATGCCCCAAGGACTTTTCTCCTTAAAAGAGATGGGAACAAGGATGTTTTCTGTCAGGCATCTGCCTTCTCAGTGGTACAGGAGGTCTAATGTGAGGACACTCAGTCCATCAGAGGAGTCTGGGGTTTTTTACCCTGCTCTTGACTGTAAGACAGGGAGGTGCCATGGGTTGGGATGATGCTAGAGGGTTGTTCAGGTGGAGTTCTAACAGGGTGCCTTGTCTGCAACCTTTAATAGATTTTTGCAATACTTAGGGAAAAAACAAGAGGATGAAGCAGGCTGTCTTCTGCAAACATGTGCAACAGAAAAAACCCCAAACCTTAACTTATCCAACACACCTGAGAGCCACAAATTCTGTTACAGTTTTGCTAAATGAGGGGAATATTTCTCCCCTCCTCTATAAAACCATCCTTTTAGACATTACTGCAGTCATGACCTCACCGCAGTTCCTGGATTCCTTCTGAAAAGATTAAAATGAACTAATACACAAATGATCTCATCACAGCATAAAGGACATCTTACACAGGGGGAAAAAACTAATCAGGAGAACTTCAGTGCTGCATTTGTAGTAGCAGTAGAAAAAGAACTGTAACACCACTGCAGAGAAACAAACTAAAGGTTCAGTGCCAGAGAGGCATTTTTCCATCCTATGAACCTATTTGGATTTGCTCTTCCTGATCCTGCCTGTCACACCTGTCATCCTCTTAGCTATCTCCACATCTATCATCTTTCCTTTTTTCCTGCCTTTACCTACAATTATTTCCCTTGTCTCTTCTGTGCCCTTCCCACCTGTTTTAATATTCCTGGGAACTTTGAATTGTATGCACTACTATTCTGAACTACATCCAAAATGCATTTTGCAGAGTCCATACACACAATCACCTGACACAGAAGTATTCACACATACTTCATCTGCAGTTTATGTTATTCTGGATTAAGAACACCTTTTCTGTGCTTTCCTACAGTTCTCAGGCCAAGGGGTCATGGATGGTGACAGCTCTCATCTCCTTTGGAGCTGTTGTATCTTCTAAGAGAAATCAGGGAGATGAGTTGGGAGAGATGCTTTACTTTCTTTGGTAGGAGAATCTATAAACTGACATTTATGTAAGTGAGACTCTCACCACATTTTTAATGTTGTATCACATTCTGAGGCTGGAAAGTAGAATATCTTGGAACTAGGTGATCTTTAAGGTCTTTTTCAACCCAATGATTCTATGATCTTCAGAACAAGATGAACATAGTGTTATTAATGCAATCTTATCTCTCGTGCCCATAGGTGCTCCTCAGCTCTGCCTTGAGGTGACACCGTTAAGCAAGAGGTGACAAACCGGTTTCCTTTCTCAACTGAATGTCACGTAACAGCCCAGGGGCCCGTCCTGGTGGGGCTTGCACCCTGCCTTTTCAAGGGGAGATGTGCTGCTGCAGCCCCTTCCCACCCTGGCAGGAGGAACTGAAACTGCTCATTTACAGCTGTGACATTTCTCAGGCAGGAGGAAAGGCAGAAGGCACCAGGCTGTAGGGAGGGATCACAGCAGCCACCTTTAGACACTGGCAAAGAAACCTCCAGAACTCACCCAGAGGAGATGAGCTCCCAGGGCTAGACCGTGCTGGTACAAAGGATGGTGGTACCTTTCTGTCCACCCAACAAGACTGGCTACTCCTAAATGGGAGATTTCATCCAATCCCAAATGTTCTGCAGTTGTTAGAGCTGCTTCAGTGAAGAGAGCCCTGAGCAGTGATGAGAGTTGTAGGATGTGTGCTGCAGCATTAGGAAAGCCCAAAAAGCCCAAGGAGCAGTGCAGAGCATCTGTCACCAACAAGAAAATAGCATGTGGAAAGCTGTTCTAATTCCTGTCCCCAGCAGCCTAACTGGAAGCACAGAGTTCCAAGGCAGAGAAGACTTGGAGAACTTGGGATCTTCAGTGAGATCTCTCCCCAAACCCTGCAGATTTACCAGGTCAGCTCAGTCCAGGCCAAAGTTGCCGGGAAAGGTCCTGGGCTCTACTCCAAGTTCAGTGCTCTATTGATTGGAAGAGCTATTTATTGTAGATCAGGATCTTGAGCCAAGACAGCTGAAGCTGCAGGGTCTAAATGTCTATTCCCGACCCAGAGATAAAACAAATGGCCAGTTTTAGCCTAATCATCACTTCTGCCTGAGAAAAGAGAAACTCTTTGAGGTAAGTTCCCTTGGACATAATTCTTTCTTTCTAGGTTAAAGAAGGGCTGCAGCTAATACATATCCTGAGTCATAATGTGGATTTGCACTTTTCCTGTTAAGTATAGCTGGTTTATGTCCAGAGGATCCCTTCTCTCCCTAATGCTCACTCATATTGTTACAACTTCTACATTAGTTGCAGGTGTGAAATGCCAACTGATCCACACTTCTCGTGCTGTCAGCAGGGGAGTAATGTGTGTCAAAGGCCTGCTTCTCAGAGGGGAGGTCACCCAGATCTCCATTTGCACATCTGCTTTGCTAAACGCAGAACTCTGGAGGTCTGAAAAGCTCCAGTGTGCACAAAATGGGATGTGATCACTGGGGGCATGCAGAAGGAACTGCTTGTGCCTGTCATTTGGTGGGCAGGACACAGAATGTCCCCTCTGCACAAAATCCTTCCTGCATTACAGCAGGTGATGTTTTACTTGCAAGTTCTAATGAGGAAAAAAACTACTCTTCCACGAGGAGATGGATACCGAGAGGTTAAAAAAAGAGCCTCACACATTAAGCAGCTTCAGAAAGATGCTAATATTCAGCATGTCCCTGCTTGGAGTGTGCAGACACGAAGATCAGGAAAGTGCCTGCTCAGAGCTCCTGGAGGGACCGTGCTGCTGGAGCCTGCCTCACACAGAGGCATCCTGCTTCTGTTCTGAGGGCTTCCAGAGGAGCTTTCAAATGTTTCTATTTCCTGCTCTTAGTGGATTTTTTTCATACCTTGGAGTAAGTCTTCTGATGGTAATGTGTTTGCAGTTGATGCCTAGATAATAGTTCTTGCTCAGGGGACCTCTGATACACAGTATTTTATGCTTTCTTCGTTTTCTATGAGATCAAAACTCGTCCCATATATACATATATACCTAATTCTTTCTTGATTCCTGCTAGAATTTAGAATATGCCTCAGTATCTGCCATAAGGATGCCCACAAGTAATCTATACAGAATATTTTTTGGTCTTAATATATTTGGCCTTTTATAAATATATGTCATGTGTTTATGACATCATGATTCTGGTTACTCTGCACTAATAAGACTTTTTAAACACTTGCCTCCAAGCATCATTCACCACTATGTACTGTATTATCCTCTCTCAGTTGAGTATTTCAAAATTTTTTTGGGGGGTGATAGTAAAAACAATATTGACCCTTTTTATCCAAAATGAGAAAACAGGGACTTGGTCATCAGCTGTATGCTGATGTTATATGGCTGTAACATCATGTTACATTGAATTGAGACCTTGTATCTTCACAGTAACTTAGCCAGAATTGAAGAAAAGTGATTTCTAAAGCCCAAAGCATAGTGGGGAGAGTCATGGGCTGAGCACATAGGTCAGAGCATGTTCCATGAACACCTGAAATTCCAGCCCTGAGCCTCTGCTGCTCATGATGGACATCTCCTTAAGGAAGCTGTTGAAAATCATTTTCACAAGAACCAGAAGAGATTCATGTTTATTACTGAGGAAGGAGAGCCCTTGCATTCTAAAGAAAAGTTTGATTCTGGAAAATGCTCTGTTGTAGAAGACAGAGTGGGTGTTTGGCTCCTTGTGGAAATGTCTCTTGAATTCAGAGGTGGCGTTTCCCCTGAAATTTACACCAGAAATTCAGAAATTTCATCTTTGATCTGAACAGCTTCCTTACTTTCCTGAGTAATAGGAATGACATTGGTTTCCCTGGACTGTATGTTATAGACATAAAAAAAACCCCATGAAAAGAAATGGAGAAAGGGATACTGATTTTCTTGGAATGAAATACAGAAAATTTGGGCTTGGAAAACTTTTGAGTATAATATGCCCAAAGTTTAAAGAAACATTTTTAAAGAAACATTTTCCAAGAGCATGCCTGTTAGTTTTATCTTTATTTTTTGCCACGTATAATTATGAGAAACACACACAACTCATAAGATTTTTTAGTTTCTGTTGAGAATTGCCTTCTCCAAGATAATTCTGTACATATTACTTTAGCCCACTGGGTATCATGTAAGGAAGGTGTAAGATTATGCACATGAATATTTCTGCCTACCACTTATGTGTGCTGAGACAATATCAACTTATACTTTCTCCTGTCATTGGTCCTTATTCCATAGAGGGTGTTCTTAATTACCAGCAAGACAATTTGGTAATAGCATGTAAAGTTTAACAGCATAATTTCTGTGATGATTTACACCTGCTAAGGATCTGAATACTGAATTTTAAAACATATTTTAAGTTTAGAAGAAAGAGTATTTTTTCTACAAGTCAGTATTTCTATTTTTAATAGAAATACTCTCATTTATTTAACTTATTGTCACAGTTCTTCTAAATGAAATGGAGCTTTTGAACATGAAGACACCATTTTTACACATTTTCACTGCCCTGAAAAATTTAGAGCACACTTCTGTACTGGATTAAATCAACTTGAGTCTAAATGCCTAAACACTATTTTTGACAACTGTGCATGAGGGACGTGCCTGTACAGGGATTCTAAAGAATAAAAAACCTAAAAATATCTCAGCTGCAAAGAAAATTCCCTGTATTCCTTCTTACACTTCGTAATAGTGGCTATATATAATATATATATATTTTAACCCTCACAGGTTTATCCCTAATTCTGTTGGAAATTATTGAAATGATTACATTGACTTTAGCAAACTCTGTTTCCTACTGTATTAAAGGCGATATCTGTGCATCAGATTTGCTGGTGATGTCCCACTAATGAAACAGGTAATTTTATCAACATGTCAGGGAGGGTAAGTGCCCAATAAAAAGGTGTCAGATAGAGATCCACAGATTACAGTCTATTTGTAATGGAAATAAAACCAGGAATTCTTACTATGAGTCATGAATTTCTTTATAATTGATTCCACATTTGGGCCAACTTTTTCCTAGATTGTCTACAGAAACCCTGCAATTCTTGGGGCTTTTGATGATGGCAGTTATGATCACAACAACACATCTCATTTCTGATAAAAATTACTTACTTTGGGAAGGATTTTCTTTTTCTCAAATTGCTTTTCTTTAGTCTTTATCTACAACTATTTTCTTATCCTCATCCTGATTTTCTATTTCTAATATAAAAACAGGAGTCCTCATCAATTTAGAAGAACAATAAAACTAAAGAAAATCCAGGCAGAACTGTTGAGCACTGTCTATTTTAAAGTTCCAACTCAGATAAAAAGACTCTGGTTTGTGCTGAACCTCACTCATTGACTCAGTTTTCCATAGTGCATTCAGTGTTGTAATAATGCAAATCAAATACAATTTTAATAACTCCTTCCATTAATGTTTTAAGACTGCAACACTTATGAGCATGATTCTAATTGCATGATTTTGCTACAGGCAAGTTTTATAGATCTGCCTGATCTTTGGATATTTGCACCGTTTGGATTATTTTAAATAATTAATTTTTGGAAGCATTTCAGTCTCAGTAACAATAGTTGGGTTTGATAGTGGTTGTCTTGTCAGTAATTGTATGTATCTGCTTCCATGCCAGGATAAACTAGATAAATTTAGAACTCTTTGGAAGGAGGTGGCTGAGGTTTATTCCATGGCAAATGTTATGGACAACCTTCTTAGGAGGAGAATATTTATAGACTGTGTTAATACAAGGAGCAAAAGAGGTTTAAAGTGAATAAAAATCTATCATGCAGCACAATTAGTTAATTAAATTTCAGGACTTTCTGCCAAAAGAATACCAAAAATATAATCAACTTAGGATACCATTAAACATTCTTGTTTTATGCAACTTCTATTGCCAGTCTCTAATGCACTGGAAAATACTTCATGAGAAGAATTAGTTTGACTTCTGACATTTTTCTGTATATCTTCTGGGAGTTTCTGCCACAGGGGCTGTAGAATCATGGAATCATTAAGGATGGAAAAAAACCTCTAAGATCATCAGTTCAACCATTAACCCAACACTGCCAGGTCCAGCACTAAACCGTGTTCCTACGCACCATATCCATCCACGCATTATCTTGGACACCTCCAGGTATAGTGACCACTTCTTCTCTGGGCAGCCTGTTCCAGTGCTTGACCACCCTCTCAGTGATGAAATTTTCCCTAATATCCAACACAAACCTCCCCTGGTGCAAACTGAGTCTTCCTCTTGTCCTATTGCTCGTTACCTGGGGGAAGAGACCGGCCCATACCTGGCTGCAGCCTCCTGTCAGGGAGCTGTCGACAGTGATCAGATCCTCCCTGAGCCTCCTTTTCTCCAGGCTGAACACCCCAAGTCCCTCCAGCTGCTCCCCAGAGGAGATGGTGAGGGGCTTGCAGGACCTCTGGTGTGAGCCAACTGTTGTTTTCAGGCAAGGTAAGCAGTTGTTGGAAAGCTTGCTCCTGTCTCCAGAAACCTGTGTAAAACCTCAGGCTTTCCTGTCACTGTGCAAAACGGGACGAGGAGAACGTTGGGACGTGGGAAGAAGGTAAGTGGGGCAGCAAAAGTCACAAAGAAAGCATTTGCTGAGTGGCTGGTGAGGGCCCTTACCTTGACACTGTTCCCAGGGTTTCTCTCTAGTGGCAGGCTCTTGGCTCTTCTCCTTGTACATGCTGTTCTTCCCCTCGAGCATCACTTGAGATCTGCAGCAGAGGGTTCCCTCCTTCAAGATGAACAGAAACACCAACACAGTCTTGCTTGCTCTTGATTCCACATTTCTTCTGTAGCGAATTTACTCCAAATTTTGCTCGTGGCAAATGCCTGCACAAGGCTTGGACAAACAAGCATTAGAAGTAGCAGTGGGAATTTCCTTTCGGGGGTTAAGGAGTATCTATGAACCAAAAGTTGCTAACTGTACCCTGAGAGGTGATTTATTGCCTACAGAAAATAGCATGTCCTTCAGTGAACATGGCTTTTCCCACCCCAAGAGTGCAGGTTTTCCAGTCTGTTTGGTGAATTCTGTGTCTGGCACGACAGAAGACAACATCTCATCTGAAATACTCAGTGCATTTTCCTTGCAGGAAAAAGTTCTAACAGTTTTGCCACAGAGTTTACACACTGACAAAGAAATAGTGCACAAGTCATGCAAAACCTATGATAAACTCTTACTTCAACAGAAGCACTTTTAATCAATCCTGTTTGAGAGGAGTGGAAGGAGCCAAAGGCATATAAACCTTTGAGAAAAGTACGTTTTCCATGAATGGATACTCAGAAATACGGATAATTACAGCAGTATTTGCGAATTTCACTGCTGGATCAACTCAGCATGAAGTTCTCAATTACTCTTTCTTGGAAGTCATCCTAAACAAGAACACCCTGATATACTGAATTAATGATAAAAGTGGATTATGTCTAGGGTTTTCCATGAGAACTTTGTCCTGGAAAATGCCAAACAAGCAAAAAAGGTTTGAACTGAATAATGAAGTTTTCATGAAGCTTCTCCGCTGAAAAAAAAATGCTAAAGACCTTTCAAAATCATTGGAAATGTCCCAATATGTATTGTGCTAAGTGAATATATATTTGCTTTGAAATATATTTTGATTTTAATTTTTAATTTATAAGTGAAAGTAGAAAAAATGAAATATTTTGAAACTACTAAAGCAAATGGCTCAGTTAGTTTTTTCACTTTTTAGCAGCTTATTGGTTAGCCACAGAATTAGCTGAAAAAAAATGAAATCTTGAAAACTCCCAAAGGATAGAAAAAAGCACTTCCCTGTCAGCTGTAAAATGAGTGAAAATTATAATGACATTTTTGTTTAGCACAGAGATTTACTAAAACACCCACATTTTCACAGAAGTTGCAAAGACTTGAACTCGGACACACTTTTGGATTCTCCCCAGCTGTGATGCTTAATGTTTTTACTAGACCTGGTCACCAACACTCTCAGATAAAGAGCTGGAGTATCCCAGCCTCTACAGGGGCAATAATCTCTGTTTCATATTGCTAGCACAAGAAAGAGGGCAGGAAGCATGAGCAGGAAATTTCACAGTTTTATTTCAAACTAATGCATTTAAACAGAAAATTATAATTCTTAAATAATTTATAAGTGAGCTATCCAAGGATAAAGAGCCCCAGATGGGGTGAAGGGTTAAGCTTTGCAGGGCAGAGAGGGAAGGCCTGTGTATCTTCACTGTGCTAATGGTGTGGGGAAAGAACTTCTGAAATGCCTGCTCAATTTGTCAGGATTTTATCTTCTGAACTATTACCTCCAGCTTTCCCCAGAACACCCTCCCCAGCCTTTTTTATCTGCGAGCTATCTTCAAGTTAACTGTCTGCCTATTGCCTTGGCTGAACCACACTAATAGTCAGCTAATTACACATGAACACTCTAATTTGCTTTGTCTTTCTCAAAAAACCCACGCGTGTGCAGGCACGCACGCGAGCGCGCTTCTGCCCGCGCCGTGGAGCTGCAGCAGCTGGACCAGGATAAAATGTGTTGCATTTGTTTTCTGCCCCCTCTGATGCTTCCCCCCCACCAGGCCACCACCAACGCTTGTCATTCCTGATTTGCAACATCACCTGTTGCTCCAACATCAGGCTCCTGTGGAGCAGAAACTGGAGCAAAGAAGAGAAATACGTGTTTGTCATTGAACTGAGCTGAGAAGAAGGAAGAGGAGAATGATAAGATCATAGCCTGCAGCACTTTGTTTATGAGAACATCCTTCCAGTGATATATGTCTGCACCAGGTGAAAGTATTGTGTCACCCCTAACATATTTTAAATGCCAGGGCTGTCATGCAAGAAGACAATGATGAACAAGTTTAAACAGAATATGGTTTTGTAGCCATGTACAGAGTTACACTTTGAAGGTTTGCACTGGTATTGCTTCTTAGAAAAATGTTTCCAAACTCTGTTATATTCCCCTACAGAACCCCTCTCATACAGAACTTAAACTAAATGGAGACATTTCTATTGCAGACAAACCAGTGGGGTTATACATAAAGCAGTGCTCTTCCTCAGACAGGATTTTCAGGCCATTTCACTCGTGCTCCCTGCCATACTATCCAAGTTTGTCATAACTCCTTGGATAGGAACCCTGCTCCACCCAGAAACAGGCAAAGGAAGGTTTGTCTACAGCATGCTCTGAGGGGCAGGGGCTGACCCCAGGTCACTGCATGGCAGAAGTTTACTCAGACTAGCCCTAGCACGCCCCTGTGGACTGAATTCCCGTTAGCTGCTGCAGCTCCCAGACCACATCACCTGCTTTAATTCCACACAAAAGAATTCCATTTGTGTGCTCCAAGGCTGCCTGGTGGGATGGGGTAAGCAGGGTTATTTGGAGGATTCTCTTCAAAAGTGCACTCCTGGGCCAAAGTGAAAGGCTAACACAGAGGCAGCTTTCCTCACCAGGCAGATATGCCCAGAGCTATCATCACACGGCAGTTTTCTTCCCAGATATTTATCTGGAGCTCAACTGCACGAACACCATCCCCATGTTACAGCGCTGTTGCACAACACCACTCTCTGGCTCAAACTGACAGCTGAAACTGAGCCTTGGGAAAGCCAACATCCAGCCCATGACATTGAGAATGGGCATGACCGTATCCACCTCGCATTCAGGTGAAGGGCCTTTAGCCCTGTGTGGCACGTGGGAATGAAGGCAACCACAGCAGTTGTGCGTCTTTGAGGAAGACTGAGGTCAGAGACACTCCATGACCCATCCAGGACAGCATTAATAACTTTACAAGAGAGAGGAAAGGGAGCTTCTGATTGCCTGAAAAAACCTTCAAGGAGGTAGGATTTCTTAAGTGCTTATTAAGGTCCTGTGTGGGCTTGTTCAGCATCTGCCCCTCACTTTTGCTTTCTGTGAAGTGGACATACCCTGTTTCCCTCACAAGGTTATTAGGAGGATTTTCCAATTAAGGTTCATCATAAATGAAAGTGTCTTGCAAGCAGTATTTAATCACCTGGCTAAAAAATGGTCTCCAACTTCTTTGGGCAGAATGTGAGTTTTTATAGGGACTAGTCACAGTGTCCAGCTAGACAGAAGGCTACGGGATCACAGGCTGCATCTTTAAGACAGAGTTTACTCCTGAATCAGTAAATGTACTAGACAAAGCAGCCATTATTTATGCATTCCTGCATACATGGCAAGGTGAAAATAATAGAATAAACATCATATACTTCATTATGATATCGGTTTACACTTCCAGGGTACACAAAAAGAGGCCATTTCATCAAGCTAATTGCCTGAAAGTAAAAGAGAGAGAACTTTAGCTATTAGTCTATTATGGGGCTTTTTTCTTAATCACAAATAGGGGCCGTGTGTCCCCAGGGGGATGTGTATTCTAATTTACAATTGAACTACAGATCAGAGCAATCAATCTTGTGCAGCACTTTTACAGTGTAATTGCTGCAACATAACAAATAAAAAAAAAAAAAAAAAAAAAAAAAAAAAAAAAAAAAAAAAAAAAAAAGCAGCCTAAGTCGAGTTTCAGCTTGAGGTGGAGATATTTACCAGGCATTGGTTCGGGGTGGGAGGGAGGCAGAGAGAGGAGAGAGGCGCCAAAGCCATGAATATGCAATGAGGGCTCATTAGTGCCCCAGTGTTGCCATGACGAATGGCATTATCCCCAGACTGGTGCAGCCTAAACATGAATTTTATAACGACCCATTTATCATGACTTGTCATGGGTTTCTTTACTGTACTTTCTACCGACTCTCACACCTTCCACCATCAGCACCTCAGAATCCCTTCCTTTTGTTCTTTTATCTTATTCCATCTTAGTTTTTTGCTAACGGTGCTCAGGCGATCAGGAGAGGAAGTCTGCAAATGCTGGTGTTCAGGAGTTCAGAGCTTCCCAAGCTGAAGACCCACCGCCAAACGTCTTGGTGGTCTTCAGTCCACTTACTAGTGGATAAGTGTCCTCATTGTCACAGGTATCTGCAATCTTGTCAGTTGACTCAGCAGAACGCTCTCGGATTGACCGAGCATCCACACAACTATCTTTCCACTCTGGCAGATGTGATGGATGAATCTGTTTTGTTGACCTAGGCCTGTCTCCTCCTCAGCCCACTCCAGCTATGTGCACAGTGTAACAATCCACCCCTCATCTTCACAATGAAAAAAGGCACAAAATCAGATAAATAAACAAAACCTGCTTTCTCCCCAGTTTCACTTAAACGAAAAAAAAAATGTGCTAGGTGTGAAACCTGACTGATAGGGAAAGCATTTACTCTTCAGGAGCAAGCAGTATTAGTCAACTCTACAGGAAAACAAAATTACTGTGAAGTAATTAGTGTCTGGCTTTAGCTCATTTTTGGTCGCTGCATGTTGTCTCTGTTTTACTGCTGTCCCTTTGGCCTACCCGATCCCACATTTAATATACCACTGCTTATAAAGAAATCCCTGTGGCTCAGAAGGCTGAATTGCCACTGCTGGGCTAGGGCCTGCTCTCTACTATATAGAGGCTTTCATTTCCCAAGTTATGAATCTGACATCTCATGGCCAAATCCAAGCCAGTTTATTTCCGAGAAGTCTGTTCTCATTATTTACCCCAAATAGTTTCACTGTCAGTCTGCTTTTTTTCTTTTTTTTTCCTTTTTTTCCCCCCCACTGTGAAGTGGCTGGAGTATCTGAAAGTATCAAGCCCCTCTTTGTTGGATTTTATACTTTTGCTATTACAAGAATTTGTCTTTAGGGATAGAAAAATCAAGCAACT